CACGTTTCATTATCGTCTTGAAAAGGTTATACAGTTTAAGAGAATTGGATTGGGTGAGATTATTTGCATTGAGAAGGTCAAGCTCTTCTTCTAATAAACTCCTCTATTATATTCGATATTCAAACCAAAAAAAATATTTTAAAAATACAAAATGACTAGATTGATATCAAGAATATTTCAAACTTTAGGTTATCTTTATACAACTATAAAACTCACAAGAAACAATCACAAAAAAACCTTGTTGATCTACTATTTTTTCGAGTAAATTTTATCAAAAAGTAGATATTTTAGCTTACCCTCTCCAAAAGATCGACATATAATTTTCCAAAACATTTAGTATTGTTGATTATTCAAAATAAAAGGTTATTACATAAGTGTTTATTTGTGTAAACACAAGAACCCAGTAACTTCATACAATCTGATTAATCTGATTAGTATATTATACATATGTAAAAAACGGTTTGAATACATATAAAGATGAATCAGAAATAATATATAAGGATAATATAGCTCAAATATCATTGATCTGTTAAACAATACTCTGAAACTACCAGTATGATAATACAATTTCAGTTACTTTGTCTAGTTTACAAGTTTAATTTAAAACTATCTTTCTCTCTTTAAGTAAATTTTTGCTATAGATACATAGATACAGAGTTTCTTTATTTTGTAATACTGTATATAATTTTTTAAAACCCGATACAGGCTTATAATTATGACCTGTCAAATTTTTTTTTCTTTTCTTTCTTTATTTTTCATCTCTGTTTTTGTTTTTAGTATTAATTTTTGTTTATTTTTCTTTACCTTTTAATATTAATGTTAGTGTTAGTATTTTTTTTGTTTTTTCCACTTCTCTACAAGAAAATATTATCAGATTGACAATATTCTATTGTAGAATGGTCTGACAGTACCTTCTAAAATAGATAGAATTTCTTGTTTAAAACTTATCAAAATATATTTATATAGATATATCTGCTCAGTGTGCCTAGTCACTTGTAAGTACTCTCACATGATTGTCAAAATATTTTTGATTTAAATTTTTGTAAAAATTGGTTTATCAAATAGAAATGTATTTCAAACTTTATTCAAAATTATCTGATTCTGGTCAATCAGAATGCAAGATCAGGTGTAACGCGAAGATCAAAACAATAATCGCTTTTTTACATTTATTTCTTGCAAAATTTTGATATAATATTGCCCACTAACACTAACCCCAAACCCGAACTTAGATGTCACATTTTAATTAGAAGGTGACATGTAAACTGGTGCGAATAATCCCAGCCAATAGAAACTTTGGGGAAATTAGTAAATGCATCTCGATACCCACCTAATCAGATTCGATAAATTTTATTTTATTCGAATTCTACTAATGTCCACAAGTAAAAAAATGTTCATTGGATTTGGCCAAGTGGTATCGAAAAGCACCGTAACAATTGTATTTTTTTTGATAAATATATACTGTTCAATAGAACTAATGTTAGTCAAAATTGTTTTTGTTAATGTCAAAATTTGTCTAAATTAAATTGTCTAAATGTCTAAATGTCTAAATTTGTTTTTTAATAGTAATTTTTTAAAAAAATGCCGAAGTCGAAATTGCCTAAATTCAATTTGCCTAAATGCCTAAATGTCTAAATAATTTCTACTAACATTAAATAGAACACAAATAAATACCTTTTGGAAGCTTAAAGGAACATCAAGAAGTAGGATCAACCTATCAAATAATACGCAAAAATCTGCTATCAGATTTTGCTATTACACCTAACATATATTTTATTAATTGGTATATGAAATACCCCAGTGGTTCTGTACTGTCTTTTTTGTGATTTGAATCGAATAATTTATACCATTCGAATTCTTCATTCAGAAGATACGAATAGTGAACAAATTATCGATTTGGATCATCGAATCACAAGACATTCCAAATTTGACATAATACACTTCGTAACTTATATACCACAATAGCATATATTGACAAAAAGATCTTTATTAAAACTCATTAAAAAATGAAACAAATTAAATTAAATAAATAATTGCCAATAAATAATCTTAAAGCCACAATGCTTGCTTAACCTTAAACCCAACTTTCGTCATAATTCCTGTATTTTTATTTGCCTCTGCAAATCTATAAATATTATTAAATTAATCAATGAAATAATTTAGTACAAAATTACATGTAAACAGTGTTTATTTTTCACATATGTGTACGTGTGCGGATCCAATCAAATTAATTGATTTTTTAAATAATGCAATTTGATTGGATCCTCACACATGCATGCATGTGAAAAATAAACACTGCATGTAAATCTGAAAATATATACCCTATAATTGGTTTCTCAATGACAAATCCATCTTCTGCGTTTCCAATCTCCCTACACGCTTTAACAAGCTCATCGACAACTTCATTAACGGCTTGTTTACTAGTAACTCTTTCAGCTGCTCTAGCTTCATTAGTTCCTTTACCACCTGCACCACCATCAAATTTTGTCGCTTCGCCAACTAAATTACTTCGAAATGCTTTAAAAGCCATAAATCTTTTATCTTCATTGTCATTTTTCGGACTCATCAGTAAAGAGTCCGTTCTGCTATTAGTACGATTAATGCCAGTTCCGGTAACATCAGCTTTATTTAATGGAACTACACTTTTTTGAACACCATTAGAATTATTGTTATTTCTCATGCTACCGCTATTTACACGACTTGATTCACCCGATGCTCGATAGTATACCACAAACCCATAATTATCTTCTGGTGTTACACATGATGGATATAACGTTGATAATATATATTCACCTTAATAAATATTAAGTGGTCAGTAACATATTTTACAATACAAAGAATTTAATTAAACGCCTCAAAACAATACGACCAAACAGGAAAAAAAGATAAAAAGTTGAAATCTTACCCTTCTCAATGCAAATAATCTCACCCAATCCAATTCTCTTAAACTGTATAACCTTTTCAAGACGATAATGAAACGTG